GTTTTTTTTTCTTTCTTTCTTCTCTTTGTTTCTTCTTCTCTATGTTCCTTGTATGATCTGTGTGCCTGTCGCTTTGCGTTTCTCTTTTTTCTTTTCTACTTCTCTCTCCAGGAAATTATCTCTCTTTCTCACTCTTTTTAACTTTCTTTCTCTCATTTTCTCTCTCACTGTTTCCTTGTCTCCCTTCTCTTTCTCTCTGTTTTTTTCTATATCTTTTTGTGCCTGTTTCTTCTTCTCAGCTTCAATGTATTTCTCTGTCTACATGTTTGTCTTTACCCTCATTCCATTTTCTCTTTCTCATATTTTGGATAAGTTTATTTTCCTTCTCTCTCTTCTCTTTTTTCTCTCTATTGCCCTCTAGCTTTTTCTCTCTATATTTTTTTTCTTTCTTTCTTTCTTTTTTTCCCACGTGCATCAACTTCGTCGAGCATAGTTTTCGTTTAACATTCGCGCTTGCTGTACTCGGTAGTGAGGCTTGCCTAATTCCTGTGGCGCATGACCATACCTGTGGTTTCCTGCGGACATCAAAGTATTTACCACCGGCCTAAACTGCTCTACCGTTGAAGAAAGAAGTAAAACGATAACTGAACGGAACAGATATGATCCGTTGCACACATAACAACGGTAACCGTGATTTCAGTCACAGAGCCCAATAATCTTTTAACACTAGTGCTGGGCTCTTATGACCTCAGTTTGTGGTATAAGCGTCTTTTTTTTTTGTCACCATCAAGTTTATTTAAACCGTATAGTGCCTGTCTGTCTTCACCAAAGGATAGACTGTTAATCATGTGCACCATTGTACTGACACAATCACAAAAGTCTAAGAAAAACCCTGTCAGTCATGCTAATTTGATATCAGTATAAGTGGTAGGACAAAAATCTTTGGCTGTGTTCTAACTCTAGACAGCGTCGTAGACAGTCTACGCTGACAGCTTAGGAGACAGCATCACGCCCATGTTGTCCAAGAAATGGAACGCATCTGGATGGCGTCTGCACGACGAGAGGCCACCTCACGACGAGAAGAGAAAGCTAAAATACATAAGCGGTATTTTCCTAGCTTATATCATGTTTAAATATAAGAAAAATTGCTCGTTACTCCCAGTGAGCGTGTAGAGAAGCACCTACTTGTGTGCGGGCGACCATTCCGGCGAGGTCCGAGCTATCTGAGCAATTCGTTGAGCCGCCGTCTTGTTTAAAACAGCAAAGTAGCTTGCATCGTTTTTGTCCACGATGTTGTCTTCTTCTCGAAGATGTCTATTTGGCCGGCTACGTGAGATTTGGAATGGGACTACAGATGACCGCCGTCCACTTTGCTGTCTATTTAGCCATCTACGATGAGTATTGGAACCACCCTTCATTGTATAGTGAATTCTCGTGACACAGACCCTCAGATTGCGGAGGTGGCGCGTATCCTGAAGCGTATCGATTAACCGTCATTGCAGCGATATATATCGAGTGGTGGCAGCCGAAGGTGCGTATAAGCATCAACAAATATTACTGCAAGTTGAGATTCCGGCGTTTTAAAGAAGGGTGACGAGCAGCTGCGGTGGACTGGCACAGTTGCATGAACCCTTGACCTTGGCAAGAGTAATGCTATTCGAGAGACAGTCTCTACGACTACGAAGACGTCGACTATACGACAACAACGACTCAACTTTGCGTACACTGTTCTTTCTGAGTAGGGCTCTAAATGTGCCTCTAAATATATAACTGTGTCAAGTCTTTTGCATACCTCCATAGTATTTTTGGTGGAGGTTCTCTGCGTTGGGTGACACCACATTGATTGATTTGTGGGGTTTAACGTTCCAAAACCACCATATGATTACGAGAGACGCCGTAGTGGAGGGCTTCGGAAATGTCGAACACCTGGGGTTCTTTAACGGGCACCCAAATCTGAGCACACGGGCCTAGAACATTTCCGCCTCTATTGGAAATGCAGCCGCTGCAGCCGGCATTCGAACCCGCGACCTGCGGGTCAGCAGCCGAGTACCTTAGCCACTAGACTACCGCGGCGGGATACACCCCATTGAATTGAACAATTTTATACACATAGCAACGCTTATGTCACTCTGTGTCTTTTACGATAAACTGAAGCTTAATGTTTCCAAATATTATTTGTTTAAAAAAAACAAAGATTTCGGAGTGAGAAGAGCTGTTTTCGTAAGGGCTGGTGTTGGCCAAGTGTTTTCTTCAGAGTGAATATTCTTTTGTCAAAAAGTGAGAGATTTTCTCGCAGCAGATTTTGTGCTGTGTACTATTTCACGCGCTCAAGAAGCAGATGATGTGTTTGGACGGCCACAAAAACACTATGAAATATGAGTGCGCTTTATCGTGTATAGGAAGGGTCACGCAAATGCTGTACCCAGCCAAAAGCGGCGCTCTCACTTCGCATATAGCGCATGTACCACTAGCGTTTCGCCTCCATCGAAATGGGAGTGCCATAGCGGTGATCGGAAATTTGTCTTTTGTGTCAGCAGCCGAGCACAACAATCACTGGGCCCTTCAGCGTACGAAGAGCCCAATTACTCAGGAATGTAAGATCAAGGTAACGTAAGTAAATAGTAATTCTTGGGGTTTTACAAGTCAAAACCACGATGCGATTACGAGGGACCCTGTCTTAGATGAATTCGGAAATTTCGAACACGCGGAGCTGTTTAACGTCCACCTAACTCTTATAAGTACACATGTGCCTAGCGTTTCGCCTCCGCCGAAGCGTAGCCGCCGCGCGGCAGGGATTCCATCGCGCGACCTTGAGTGAGCAGTCGAGCACCATAAACACTAATAATTGTGGTGGATTATATAGGGTAATTAGAGGGACAGAATTGACCTCTGAGGTAATCTATGGCGCCCCTACAACTCATCATCATCATCATCATCACCACCACCACCACCACCACCATCATCATCATCATCATCATCATCATCATCACCACCATCAGCAGCAGCAGCAGCAGCCTGACCACACCCACTACAGGGCAAAGCCCTCTCCCATGTTCCAACAATCAACTCGGTCTTGTGCTTTCTGTTGCCACGTTATACCTGCAAAATTTTAAATCTAATGAGACAACGCAACTTTCTCCCTTTCGTACGTTTGCCTTTTCTGAGAATCCATTCAGCTACCCCTAATGATCAGCGGCTATCCTGCCTACGCCCTAAGTGCCCGGCCCTTGTCCATTTCTCCTTGTCGAATTCAACTATGATATTCTTAACCCCGGTTTGTCCCCTGATCCACTCTGCTGTCTTTTTATCTTTGACTTTGCACCAATCATTTTCTTTTTCATCACTTGCTGCGTTGTCCTCCACCTAGGCTGAACCCTTTTTGTAAGCCTCCAGGTTTTTCTGCTCCGATAGGTAAGTACCGTCAAGATGCAGCTGTTATATACCTCCCTCTTGAGGGATAGTGGTAGATTACCATTCATGATTTGAGAATGCTTGCCGAATGTGATCCACTCCATCCTTATTTTTCTAGTTATTTCACTGTCATGGTTCGGCTCCACGGTTACTACCTGTCCTAAGTAGACGTAATCCTTTGCGATTTCCAGTGCCTCTGCCCCTACCGCAAAGGGCTGTTTTCTGCCGAGTTTGTTGCACATTACTTTAGTTTTGTGCATATTAATTTTAAGACCTAGTTTTCTGTTTTCCGTGTCTTGTTCTACAATCATGAGCTGTATTTCGTCCGCCGAGTTACTCATCTAGGCGATGTCATCAGCGAATGCCAGGTTACTAAGATACTCTCCATTAACTCTTATTCTTAACTCTTCCTAATCTATAGGGTCCTGAAAACGTCATTTAAACACGCGGTGAATAGCATTAGAGATATCATGTTTCCCTGCCTTACACCCTTCTTTATTGGGATTCTGTCGCTTTCTTTATGGAGAGGCATGGTGGCTGTGAATCTGCTGTAGATTTCTTCCAGTATGCTTATTTAGGGTTCCTAGATGCCCTGATTCTGTAGTGCTCGCATTACTGCTGATTTCTCGACTGAGTCAAACGCCTTCTCGTAATCTACACTCTTAATCTGGTTTCACTTAGGTTCGAGCTCGTAAGTGGAACATTTTTGCAAAAAAAGTTCCATTTAGTTAAGTGGAGAGGCGTCCCAGGTAACGCTTCGAGTATGAAGAACAGTGTTCCACTTATTGGTCACTGGGTTGTGTACATTGTAGCGTTCCACTTGTTCGGTACCTAGAAAATTCATGCATCCTAGGGAATTTATGCACACCATGATTATCGTCACCCGTATTTCTGGCATAAGTAAACAGGTTTGATATGAGGCAAGTAAGCGTTCAACTTTCTCATATATTTGCTGCATACCTGAACGGACGAAATGGGGGTTATTTTTCAGCATTATATGATAACATGAAATAAATTGTTTTACAGAATCGCTGCGCGGATATGTCATCGTGGAACACGCCGGTATTTATGCTTCATCAAAACATGCTTGCCAATGCTTTTGACATATTGTACTGAATAATAACAACTCCGTTATCAGTTCAGGTATACGACAAAATATATAAGAAATGCAATGTTCAGTTGTCCTACTTAAGTGTCATATCGGCTCAGTTATGCCAGATATCTGTTACGGTAACCATAGTAGGTATACAAGCATGCGTCGACATAACCAAAATTTAAGCCACTCATATATTCATCAAACTTTAATTGGTAATTTAGAATACTTAGGTGAATCTGTAAACAACCGCGCTATCAAAAAGGGCCAAATAGCACCAATCAATAACCTGCGAAACTGTGAAAATGACTGTAGTAAAGCTACAGCATTTGCATTTGCCTGTTCGTGCTTTTAATTTGATTTAGATGCATGCCCTTATTATCCTACATCATACAAAACCTCAACCCTAAAATGCAAGTGGGAACATAGAACTGCTACAGCTGTTGCTATTGCTTTGTGTGCGCATGATGTGAAGGCAAAATGCTACTCACAGAAAAACAATAATGCTCAGAAAACCGCCTGCCATCTCGGCTCTCAGTAAAACAAAGAACACAAATATTTTCAACAATTTATTTCACAGAACACTTTCTAGCACATGGTTACGTGAATACAAGTGCAGTTTATGTAGATAATACAAGGCCATCCCAAACAACACACAAAACATAAGCCATAGTGCATAGCAATGCGGAATGAAATTTTTGTACCAACAACATCAATACATTGGGAATAAACTCAAGATCTAGAATCAGTAACAAGTAAAACAGGTATTCACACGCAGTATTAGGTTTGATCAGTTATTAATCTCGCTCACGTGCGAAGTGTCAATTGTTAACTCAGAAAAACATGTGCAAGAAAGAGAAATTGTCGCTTTACGTAAGCGGTTTGTCAAGATGATACTAATGGTACAGCTGTAGTGATGCCACCTGGATGCTATCCTTTGACATACTTAGAAAAACTACGGAATTAGTGTCACGAAACGTCAGTGCTGACGTAGCTACTTGACCTGTGGAGCTCATTGTAGTAGTAGTTGGTTCTGTTGCCGGAGCTTAGGTCGATAACTGTGTTCCTACGGGGTTCACTTGGCAGTTTAAGGAGCCTTCGCCTCAGTCTTTTGACGCCAGAAGACTCGTTTGCATGGGTGACATCAAGATCTGGCGATTCTGGACAACATTCTGTATCTTCGAAAAATGAAAAAAGAAACGTTTCAACAATTAGGTGTTAAAACAGCAAAGCGAGAATGACCTTACCTAATATAATGTAATTTCATTCTAAAATGCACTTACTTATGCAAGCTTGTGGGACTGTTTAAAACATTTGAATTACATTTGTGGCAGTTTTGGTGCCTTTGCAGCTCCAATTAGCTGGAACGTAGTATAACCCATAATATATGTTTAAATACACATGCAGATTAAGACATTCCGTACCACCCTACACACACGTGCACATGCACGCGCCTCACTCCCACCCACCTACACACACACACACACACACACATGAACGCACATGCAGACACACGCACTCAAATTGATGTAAAGCTATACAACATTTTCGAAGTAGAAAATTAAATGAGAATCATGCCTTTCCCTTTACCTTAGAAAAATCAAATGGGATGTTTTCGACGTGCGTAGAGAAACGGCCACTAAAGATCCTTTTTTCTGTGGTAAGGTCACGTTGCGGTCCATTATTGAGGTGTCCAATAACAAGCGGGTCATCAATCTCGAAGCCCGTCACTGAAAAAAAAAAATTGAGAACTCTAGTCAGTACCATCACGGCTTGTTCATTATTAGGTTAACAGTACAGAAGCAGCACATATTCGCATAAGAATGCTCAGTATTTGACATATAAAATCTAATGGTGTCGAAAGCGGCGCGATATAAAAGTCATTTATAAGATAAATTAGTGGTGAATGTTGTTTGAAGAACACGGCACTGCGCACAACAAAAATACCCCACAACGCACCAAACACCACTTTGAACACCACCCTGTTGGCACAGACGTTAAAATACGGAAACACAAGATGACACCACTTTGAACACCACTCTGTTATCACAAACGTTAAAAAACGGAAACATAAGGTGACTTCGCGTAGGGCGAACTACAAACTAGTTCGTCGTAAACTGCGAGCCAGTCGTGCAAAGAACGTTTTTGAAAGGTCATCGTAAATTATCCTAACACACTCACGTGGGCCATAAAAGCAAGCAAGCATTAATATTCCCATAAAATTCAGTGTTTTACAGAACAAACCTCCGTGAACAAAGCCTATAGTTAAACACATCAAACTGAAACAGTGCAATTTTTGGGGCGAGCATTTGATCACGTCCTTGATTTCCTGGCAGAATTTACATATCAGCTCTACCAGACACACTAACTATGCTGCTGACTGACGCTTACGTATTCATCTTGCCAGTTCATGCACGCCCAAACTTTCTTCGTTTGGTTGCGGTCGCATAAGCATTCAAGCTACAGAACAAAGGCAGAACTCAAAGAAAGCGATAAAAATGGCCCAAGGACTGCCTCCACCGTACCGCTAATGCATAAGCAGTATAAATGCTCGTCACTCACCTCTGGGAAGCGACCGCAGAATCAATAGTTCGAGGCTTCGAAAGCAAACTTGTTAACAATGGTCCCACGGCCTCCAGAACCATCGAGAAACACGAACAAGCTTCGGAAAAGCACGCACGTTCACGAGGAAAGAAAATGGCGCACGCTGCAGCCTGTGAGCCTATGCAGCACTTGTCAACTGCGTAACCACCGCAACGATCGCCAGTGAAGAGAGTGTTGGTACGAGTGCACGAACGTGCATTCGTCAGCTTGCAGAAAAATCTGCCGAGAGACGCGGAGGTCGGCAGCCGTTGTTTCGTAACGCTAGCCCCGCGTTGAGCATGCTTTCTTCCGCTTCACATTTCGAAATCAAAGAGGAGATTCATTGGAAGGACCTCTCCCCGACGCGCCTAAGCCGTATAACTGGTTCTTTATGCTATCTCAAACATGTGATGCAGATATGGCGTCGCTTTGCCGCCGTAAGTGGAACAATAATAAAAGCACGCCATTTGGTAACTGGAACAAAACGCTGGGCTCGAAAGCATATATCAGGTTCCACTTAAGTAAACAAAAACTAAAGAAAAAAAAACAGCTGCTGTTCCAGATCACCCTCGCCAAACCACTCTGATCCACATAACAGCTCCGCTTGTTCCAGTTAACGACTGCTTTATCTGGAACTTACGTGGAACAAAATTAAGAGTGTATGAAAGCTATGTATAGGGTTTGGTTGCATTCAGCGCATTTCTCTATCCCTAACTGATAGTAACAATGTAGTCTATTGTGGAGTAGCTTGTATACGAAATCCTGCTTGGTCTTTTGGGTGATTGAACACTAATGTCGCCATAATTCTATTAACCATTATTTTGTAAAAGGTTTGCAGCGAACGTACAGTAAGCTGATTGGCCTGTAATTTTTCAAGTCCTTGACGTCTCCTTTTTGTATTGATTAAGATGATGTTGCGTTCTTCCAAGATTCTTGTACCCTTCCTGTCAAGAGACAGTTCGTATATAAGGAGGCCAGTTTTATTATCGCAATTTCTGCACCATCTTTCAGTAGGTCCGTTGTTATCTTAGCCTCTGCAGCAGTTTCGCCTCTTTGCATTCCTTTTAGGGCTTTCCTTACTTCCCCTGTCGTTACTGGTAGGATTTCGAATGTCTCTGGGCTATAATTGCTTCTTACGATGCATGATGGTTGTTTCAGTTTCTGTACAGCTCTCTGTAGAACTCATCCGCCACATCGACTGCCCTATCCATATTGGTTATGATATTGCCTTCCTTGTCCCATAATGCATAAACCTAATTTTTGCCTATGCACAAATTTGCCTTCACAGCTTTAGGCTTCTGCCGCTTTTTACAGCCTGCTTGATGCCATGTCATACCTTCTGAGGTCGGCTACCTTACGCATATTGATTAACTTCGAAAGTTTCACTGGCTCTATTTTATCGGTTGCATTTGAAGCTCTTATGGTTTGTCGTCTCTTAATAGGAGTTTTCGTCTTCTAGAATAGTTTGCGAGTGTCCTGTCTTGGGATTATACCTCGGACTTCCATTGACCACTCTTTGATGATACTAGTAAGATTATCGTTCATTGTGTTAATGCTAACTTCGGTTTCTTCGTTTATCTATTCTGAAGCGAAACTGAATTCCTGTACTTTCTCATCGCGTACTCATTATTTGCCTTCTTGCGAAGCACTTTTTGTCTTTGTTTTTTTTCAGTCTTGGTGAAGACGAGCTCTTACCAGTCTATGGTCACTGCATTGGATCTTGCCAACTACTTCTAAGTCCTTTACAATTTATAATACCTGGGCGTGCACAGAGAATGAAGACTATTTCATTTTTAATTTCGCTATTAGGACTCCACCATGTCCACGTATAGAGTTAGACCGTTTTTTGTAGCAGGTATTCAAGATATGAAGATCCTTCCCATATGAAGGCATGTTCTTATATATATATATATATATATATATATATATATATATATATATATAGTCAAGTAGATCCTCCGTGAGCGGCACAACGTGGTTTATTTCGACGTTTCGGCCTACAGCCTATAAAGGCCAGACTCTAGGCCGAAACGAAAAAATAAACCACGTTGTGACCACTCACGGAGGATCTACTTGACTACATGCAACGCTACGGCCACTCAACCACCATGCCTGCCTATATATATATATATATATATATATATATATATGTGTGTGTGTGTGTTATTTGACGTTCTCTGGTGAGGGAGTGCGTTCCCGGCGGTGGTTACCGGTGAGGCCGCACCCCAGGCCTCTTAATGCAGTTCCATCAACACGCGGATATTTTTTTAATCCGGTTGGGAACTGCGCGGCACCGGGATTTGAGCCACGGACCTCTTGCATGCGAGGCGGATGCTCTAACCACTGCGCCATCGCCGCACCCATTGGAACCTGAACTTGGCAACGTTTAATGCTAGAACCTTATCTAGTGAGGGAAGCCTAGCTGTACTATTCGAGGAGCTATAGGGTGTTAAATGGGATATAATAGGGCTCAGTGAGGTTAGGAGGACAGATGAGGCCTATATTGTGCTACAGAATGGGCACGTCCTTTGCTATCGGAGCTTGGCAGACAGAAGAGAACTGGGAGTGGGGTTCCTAATTCACAGAAACATAGCTGGCAACATAGAGGAATACTATAGCATTAATGAAAGAGTGGTAGGTATTGTAATTAAACTGAATAAAAGATACAAGATGAAGGTAGTACAGGCTTACGCGCCTACATCCAGCCATGATGACGCTTCAGTTGAAAGCTTCTATGAAGACGTGGAATCGGCAATGAGTAAGGAAAAAACACAATATACAATACTGATGGGAGACTTTAATGCAAAGATAGGGAAGAAGCAGGCTGGAGACCAGGCAGTAGGAGATTATGGCATCGGCACTAGAAACGCCAGAGGAGAGCTACTAGTAGAATTTGCTGAACGCAATAATTTGCGGATTTTGAATACCTTCTACCGAAAACGAGAAAACCGCAAGTGGACATGGAGGAGCCCTAAAGGCGAAAATAAGAACTAAATAGACTTTATAATGACTGCACACCCAGGAATCGTGCAGGATGTGGAAGTGGTTGCCAAGGTACGATGCAGTGACCATAGAATGGTACGGTCTCGAATTCGCCTAGATTTGAAGAAGGAACGACAGAAACTGATACGCAAGAAGCCAATCAATGAGCTAGCACTGAGAGGGAAAGTACAGGAATTCAGTGTGTCGCTGCAGAACAGGTACTCGGCTCTTAGTGAGGAAACCAACCTTAGCGTAGATACAATGAATGATAATCTGACGAGTATCATTACGGAGTGTGCAGTGGAAGTTGGAGGCAGGGTAGTTAGACAGGACACTGGCAAGCTTTCCCAGGAAACGAAGAACCTAATTAAGAAGCGTGAAATCATGAAAGTGTCAAGTACAACAGACAAAATAGAACTGGCAGAGCTTTCGAAGTCGATTAATAGACGTAAAGTATGCGATGTAAGAAGGTATAACATGGAGAGAATTGAACACGTTCTGAAAAACAGAGGAAGCGTCAAAGCACTGAAGAGGAAACTTGGGATAGGCAAAAGTCGGATGTATGCACTAAGGGACAAAGAAGGCAAAATAACTACCAATATGGATAGGATAGTTAAAATAGCGGAGGAGTTTTACAGAGATCTGTACAGTAGCGAAACAACCACAACCTCAATACTATAAGAACTAGCAGTAACCCAGATTACACCCCACCAGTAATGATAGAAGAAGTCAGAAAAGCTTTGGAGAGCATGCAAAGAGGCAAAGCTGCTGGTGAGGATCAGGTAACATCAGATCTGCTGAAAGATGGAGGACAGATTGTGTTAGAAAAACTAGCCACCCTGTTTACGAGGTGTCTCCTGACGGGAAGAGTACTAGAGTCTTGGAAGAACGCTAACATCATCTTAATACATAAGAAAGGAGATGACAAGGACCTGAAGAATTACAGGCCGATCAGCTTGCTCTCTGTAGTATACAAGCTATTTACAAAGGTAATTGCTAACAGAGTAAAGAAAATATTAGAATTCATTCAACCAAAGGAACAAGCAGGATTTCGAATAGGCTACTCAACAATCGACCACATTCATACTATCAATCATGTAATAGAGAAATGCTCAGAATATAACCAACCACTATACATAGCCTTCATAGATTACAAGAAGGCGTTTGATTCAGTAGAAATATTAGCCGTGATGCAAGACACTGCGGAATCAGGGCGTGGATGAAGTATATATAAACATCCTGGAAGAAATCTACAAGGGATCAACTGCTACCATAGTGCTTCATAAAGAAAGCAACAGAATACCAATCAAGAAGGGTTTAAGGCAGGGGGACTCAATCTCCCCAATGCTTTTTACCACGTGCTTTCAAAAGGTTTTCAGAAGCCTAGAATGGGAACAGATAGGGATAACAGTTAATAGAGAGTATACCATAGTAACCTGCGCCTCGCCGATGACATTGCATTGCTGAGTAACTCAGGGGACGAATTGCAACTCATGATGACGGAGTTAGACAAGGAGAGCAGAAAGGTGGGTCTTAAAATTAATCTGCAGAAAACGAAAGTGATGTACAACAACCTCGGAAAGGAGCAGCGCTTCGAGATCGGTAAGAGTGCACTTGAAGTTGTAAAAGACTATGTCTACTTAGGGCAGGTAATAACCGCATAGCATAATCGCGATATTGAAGTAACTAGAAGAATAAGAATAGGGTGGAGCACATTTCGCAAGCACTCTCAAATTATGACAGGTAGATTACCACTATTTCTCAAAAGGAATGTATATAACAGCGGTATCTTGCCGGTGCTTAGCTACGGAGCAGAAACCTGGAGACTTACAAAGAGGGTTTAGCTTAAATTGAGGACGACGCAGCGAGCAATGGAAAGAAAAATGGTAGGTGTAACCTTATGAGACAAGAAGAGAGCAGAGTGGATTAGGGGACAAACGGGGGTTAAGGATATCATAGTTGAAATAAAGAAGAGGAAATGGACATGGGCCGGGCATGTAACGCGTAGACAGGATAACCGCTGGTCATTAAGGGTAACTAACTGGATTCCCAGAGAAGGGAAGCGGGTTAGGGGGAGACAGAAGGTTAGGTGGGCAGATGAGATCAAGAAGTTTGCGGGTATAAATTGGCAGCAGCATGCACAGGACCGGGTTAACTGGCGGAACATGGGAGAGGCCTTTGTCCTGCAGTGGACGTTGTCAGGCTGATGATGATGATGATGATGATGATGATGATGATGATGATTGTGTGTGTGTGTGTGTGTGTGAGAGAGAGAGAGAGAGAGAGAGATAGATAG